GGAATACGATGAATTGAAGGGAGAAGGGGAGCAAGAGGAATAAAGTGCGGAGGAGCTGCCTTCTCATGAAGGAGATACAGAGTCGTGTTCTCTTCCAGCCCCGTGAGCTCAGTATCATCAACCACCAGTTCGGCGTGAGTCCGCCTCGTATGGCAAATGGCAGGGGAAAAGGGAGAACAGATGACAGCGGCTGCCTACTGGGACACCGATGCTTGCACCTTTCAGCTGGAGGCGTTCTTTTCGTGGTCGCAGCGTGGATTTTCATGTCCCGATCAACTCCTCTGGGGTACATTTTCCTCCCGTGGGCAAGCACGCAGAGGGACCGGGGGTGGGTGAGGAGGGGGGGGACGCAGACGGGACAAAAGCTGAGAAAGAAGAATGGTGGCCGTTCGCCTTTGGGCTGCTGCGAGAGGACAGAAGGCTTGATCGCGTGTACTTGTACGTACGCCAAGCGAGACTGATCTGCTCCGCTTGTCTCGTCTTCCAAGACTGCTGGAAATGTGCTTGCTGGCGAACATTCGTCCCAGAGTTGTACAGGGGTCGAGGTGCTCGGAGGAAAAATTTGTTACGGTGCGCGTTTGGGGGGCACCAAGCAAGGGTTGGTCCACCTCCTGGTTGTATTATACTTTGTAGCGTTTTCTGAGGACAGGGTGCAGGGTGCGCCCACAGCCATCATGTTATGGTGTAGTTCGCCTGTGGAAGCTGTAGAGTGGTCCCGGCCAACTCTGGTCCGCCTCGTGTGTGGCGTGAGGACTGTCGTTGCAGCCCAGCTATTTTCACGGCGCACGCAGGCCGTGATAAATGAAGAGAGATTTCACACGAGTGCATGGGTCGCTTATTCACGCCGTCGGTGTGTTGTCCGCTTTTTGCTTCGGTGTTGTGTCAAGCAGTCAAAATTTGCACGGGGTCATCTGATCCATGTTGGTGCTGTAGAAGGCGCGGGCAGGCCGCGATTTGAGAGCAAGCAAAAATACACTTGCGTGGAGTCAAGTGTTGCCCATTCGCTCGCCCCGTGCCTGGCAGGTATAGAACAAACAAAAGCACAACCTGGGATTCGAGGCTCCCACACGCCGAGAGACAACAATCTGGCATCATGGGCCGTTGGGGAAATAATTGTTTGGGTTTCATGCAATTTGCGTCGCCTCTACTCACACGACGTATCATATTACGCTGTTGAACCGCGACCACAGGATAGGCATGGGACCCCACTCAACATCCACAAGAATAGTGCATCTGTTGGGGCTAGTACTGCTAACCAGCCCTGACGTCGACACACCCCTCTATTTTCCCGCACCACGGACAACATGCGACGGCAAAATAGATCCAAAAGTCCAGACAAACCAAATTGATAATGCTGTTGGCTTTTTCACGGGGGGCAATTTTAAGTGATTCCCCTACCCATGTCGCCGACCAACCATCATCAGCAAGGGCTGTATTGTACCAGTACGCATACAACGCCAGGCGAAGGGTGGGAAGGGATAGAGCCGCCAGCGGCAAGCAAGGCGCGCTCGATTTTCAATCTACAACAAACGGCTACCTTTTTCTATAAACACACCAGTACCGTCAGCCCAGCATCCACACATGCCCGCACTCACACGAGTATAGAAACAAAACCTGGCCGCAATATCACTGAATCACAGTCAATGTTAACAACTTCTTAAAGCTCTCCTTGCCAGAATAAACCAACGCAAGAGGTAGATGCGTCTTGCCCACGACAGTATACACCTGTGCTGCTTCAGCCAAAATGCCGAGTGTGGTGGAACAGACTGACAGCGCCCCGTGCGCAAACCCTCCCAACATGCCGGAGAGGATATGGTACGTGACGCTGGGGGAAAATCCGCACAACGACACCCATCCTTTTCCCTAAAAAAAAAAAAAACTCATCATGAAGATTTATATATCTTCATGCCTCCGCCATTTCTTTTTCCGCCACCTTGGCTGCCTTCTTCGCTGCCGATGCCTGGAGACGCGCGAAAGAAGGACGTTTGAGGGCAACATGTGGGGGGGGGCGGGGGGGGGGAATC